TTGTTGGCCATGACAAATGTTCACTCTATTTCTCCTCTTTTCTTAAGGAACAAGCATGCACCAGTCCTCACTGGCACAAGGAAATACATTTCAGCAACTGGAAATACCCCTATTCCCAGACAGTCCTCATCACCCAAGTGAGTGCAGTGTTCTAAGACTTTTAGTCATAGGATGAGCTCGGATTGTTCTTGGGACAAGCCTTCAGGTTAGACAAACAGAAACAGTGCATATCGCCACAGGCCAGCAGGAAATGACTGCAAACATACCTCAGTCTTTTGTACAATTGTGATAAGGACTGTATCATCTACATTTGAACATCCTGTGCACAGAGTGAGTGCTCTGAAGGGACACTGGAGGAAGAGAGACCACGCATAACTGACAGACGGGTGCCCACTGCTCTGCTTGGGGGGTCACCTTGCTTTTAAAGTTATTCAGCTCATCTGAGACTGTCAAAAAGGCTCTAGGCTTCTCATTGCCATATCACCACTATTTCTAGAGTAAAAGTACACAGTGTAACAAAAGTATACTAAACAAAACAAGCAAAAGAGTCAAGATCATTTTGTTAAATTCTTGTAGATCCCAGTGTAAAATATGCCTATAAATTCTTAGTAACATGGGACACATGGAACAGTTCAAGTTGTACTTTAGGAACAACAGAGTGTGACTTAGAAAACCTCAAGACTGGGGCCTTAAGTGAGTTGTCAGATGGAAGCAAAGGGCTGAGAGATGAAGAGGCTCAACAACACAGACTAAAGAAAGTCAGAGCAAGCTGAGGAAAAAACTAGCAGAAGGGCAGCTCCAGAACAATCAATAAGGAAGTACAGAAAATAAAAGGGCATGTGAGGGTGCGCGCGCTGCAGTCTAGGGGGAAAAAACGCACAGTTGTTAAAGGAATTCACAGTAATACCACTTTCAGTGCCCAAAGTTAACTTGATTAGTTTCAGAAGGAACGATAATGTTCAAACCATCCTTCCACATCTGCTACTTCCATAATGGCTCTGCGGCTGTCGTAAATTAGGAGGAGAAGGGCACAGTGCCAACTGTCAAAACAAACAGGCAACTCTGGGTTCCAAGTTTCATATTATTTTCCTCGAGCCTGAGAGCTGGGAAGGCAGCCTGTGCTGCCGCCTGCTCAAGCCCGGAGCGAGAAAAACCCTTCACTGGGATCCGGCCAGGGCCCCGCCCCTGTGTCCAGGCTAAAGAGAAAGGTCATGAGGGAATCCTGTCCTTGGGTGTCAGGCCTCAGGAGGAGAAAATGAGCTCTTACTAGGGAGTGAGCACAGCTAGTGACACCTCGAGAGCAGAGGCGCCGTGACCCACAAGAGGCTGGCACTTAGCGCGCCTCTGGCACTATCAGGGCTGCCCACTCAATGCGTAAATCCTCCTCATTTATTCTGCTCCACAGAGTAACAGAAGGTCTGTGTTTCGTACTTTCTGCACCCTGTGTCGTGTCCAGCTTCTGATGGATGAAAAGATCATGTCCCTGATGTGGCCTCTTCTGCTTCTTGGCTTTTCCAAGGCCAGACCAGTGAAAGGACCCCCGATGGGCATGCTTCTGCCCTCTTGCTGTCCTGCTTCTCCCCTCCACCAGGTTTAGCCCCTGTGGGAAGCCAGGCACTCTCCCTCCTCCTCTTCTTGTGTGGTGGGCATGCCCATACCAGTGGGCTTTACATAGGCTTGAGGGAGGTGAGGCTTCATAAGCCTCATACCAGGCCTTTCCAGAAAGCACTACAACAGTTAAAGACACTCATCGCCAATCATAGGATGGTGCCTTGTTTTCCCAGAGCCATTGTCTCATGTTTATACGGCTTTCAGGAATGTCAGAAGGCCAAGGAAGGACCCTGAAGTATCTGGTATCCCTGGTCTGGACATAACACTATCAGCACCGGAGTCTGTGTTCACAGGGTTATGTCCAGAACCCACTTGCATGCTCAGAGGGAATCCCAGAGAGAGGAAGGAGGTATGACTGCCTCTCACTTCCCCAGGACTCTGCTGCTAAGTTCCTCTCAACTGTTTGTCCCTTCTGGTCTCACTCAACTTCCAGCCTTCAGGGTAGCAGTGGCTGGGTTGCCTTACAGTCCTTGACAGGCTTCTTGTACCTAACAGCATCCATTACAGACAGTGGCTCTCTTAGATTTACCGTGTCCCATAAAAAGTTACCTAAAAATTAGAACTCCAAGCGTGATGGCAGCCTGTCCTCAGCAAGGCCATACTTACGAAGTGGACAGTAGAGTGGACCTGAAGGTCTTGTTCAGCTCAGTCTTAAGTCAGTCTACTGAAGTTTGCAGAATACCATGAGCAAATCATTTGGAAATAGAACTTTCATTCAGACATTCAACAAAAAATCATTGATCTCCTACTCAATGCCAGATGCCACTCTGGGTTTTGAAGACACAGTAGTGAACAAAACAAAGACCCATGAAACAGGGCAAAAGACGGTAATGAATATATGAAAAAGATGTTTCCAGATAGCAATAACCTACACAGAAAATAAATTAGTGTAAAAGGCTGGAGCGTGACTGGAAGGGGCGGTGCAGTGCTAGTGTGGCTGGGCTTGCCCTGAAAGGTCTCAGTGAGGAGCAGACACTGGAACTGAGACTGGACGATAGGAGCCAGCAAACCGTGTGAAGACCTTGGGATACTGTTCCTTGCAGGAGAAAAGCAAGTGCAGAAGCTTTGAAGCAGGAATGAGTTTGGTGTGTTCAAGGGAAAGACAAAGGATAGAGCTCATAGTGTCAGGGGAGAACATGAGGAGAGATGACTGACCACGGAGGGTCCTTAAGGAGTTTTTTATTTATTCTAATTTCAGAGGAAAGCCATAGAGGGTTTTAATCTAGGAAGTAGTGGTATTTAACGCAAAAAAGTTCACATTGGCTGTAACGAGTGAGGAAACAGGCAAGAGAAGCAGGAGATGGGTAAGGGCTGGTGTTGGCTTCCCCCAGGATGGCAGCAGGAAGCATGGTGAGAAATGGGCCTTATCGTTTGTATTTTAGTGGCGGGTCAACAGGACTGGCCAGTGGATGAGGTATGGGGGAGGTGAGACAAAGACAGGGGCCAAGGATTTTTGGCCTCATCAGCTGGTGCGGAGACTGAGGTGTTTGTTTTCTTTGTTACATTTGGTACATCTATCAGATGTTCCAGTGGAGAAGTCTGATATGGGGCTGCCTTCTCCAGGAAAGAATCAGGGCTGGATATATGTAGAAAAGGAGGATCATTAGCAACTTCATCTGCTAGATTCCAAGTTCAAACTATACCATTCGTAACATCTTCCTCATCTCCTCACCACAGTGTATGCTTATCAAAGCATCTCTAGGTAATTGACAGAGGTGTGGTCTCTTTCATATCCCCAAAGAGCCATTGCTACTGCGGATACAGTGAAGGTTCCTGTGGCCGGGATTCTCACCTGGCCCTGGTTGGCTAGCTCACTGCACATGTGTGGGCAATACATTGTTATTGACTCTATATAAAGAGCTCGGCCCAGTGCTCTGGGTGACACGGTGGCACAGCTGCAAGGCGCAGGAGAGCAGAGAGGAGACTGGAGTGGTGGCAGCGCCAAGGACAGAGACTGAGACGGCTGCAGGGGCAGAGAGGCCCAGAGGCAGAGACCGGCTTGCTGCATGCAGACTTGCTCTGAGTGGACGGGGTTCTAGTGACTGACCTGCCACCATGGAAATAAAGTTGGGTATAACCCTTTCACCCCAAGAATGTTCTACTGTCATTTCTTTGGTCACACTGAATCCACAGTGAACTTGCCCAGGGCTAAAACCCATTGGCAGGACAGCCCCTCTTTGGGTTTCCACTGGGCTGTTCTTATCCTTCCAGATGACTGACAAACTGCCGGCACACACATGGTTTTCCCAGTCTCCTCACACGAGCTAACACTCCTCTCCAGCCTGTCCATCTTATCCCTTAAGACACAGCTCAAAACTCACTTCCTCCAAGATGCCTCTGAGCCACACTGCCCTCTTGAGTGATAATTTCATGTTGTTTCCCTACCACACAGACAGGCAATGCTCTAACATGCGAATAATTTGGATTCTAAATATTTCTTTGAATTCAACTTTTCTGAGCATCAAACATCAGTTCCTATAGAAAAAAAGGTTATAAACTATATAGCTCCTATCTGAAAAGCCGACAACAACCCATTTAATCCTTGGAAAGAGCTCTAGAGGCCTCAGGATCAGAAGCAACAGGCTGAGCGTGCAGCCTTCTGCTGCAACACGGAGACACAGGCCTGTTGGCAGGACTCCTTCCCACCAGTGGGTACCACTCAGGTGGCAGAGCAGCTGGAGCTCTTCTGCCTAAAGAGGACTTGCAAAATGATCTGTTTTCCCCTGAGCTGATTTTCACTGTTGTTATGGGAAACTGAAACCAGCAATGGGGTAGGTATTTTGATATCCATGAACGTGGTTGCATATAAATGTAACCGTGGTGTAAAATTGCAACCACTAGATGGCACTGAAAAACTGGGGGCACTTTTGGGGAAAAATAAAAGATGCTAAATTCATTAGAGAAAGGTACCCTTGTAAATTTTGCCCGATGCTTAATGAAGACCATTTGTCACATGAAGTAGAGAAGGGAAACTTAGAATGAGACCAGTAGACAAAACCTTGCTGATGAAAATTGAGGGAAAATTTCTACCATTTAGAATTGGGCCAGAGGCAGCATTAGCTAGCTGGACATTTACAAAACTCAATGGATACCAGTTTCAGAATAAGAAACGAAGACAAATCTATCTATTTATTCAATGGTCAAAACATAATATGAATTCACTATGAAATAGAGAAAATTTTCTATCCTGATTTTAAAAAGTACCATTATGCCATCCAATTAATTATCAATCTGAGAGTTATCAATTCACAGGAAAGATCCTTTATTTAAGGGTATTTGAGGACTACTTATAAGTAATATATTCATGTACCAATTTGAACAAGCAATTAGTCAAATATTAAATTTACTTAGCATTTTTACTGAAATCATAAAGAAGAGAATATTCTTACCAGTTGCCTTTTGGATTTATAAACTGCTGCACTGCATAGCCAAACTGTTCATTTGAAGGACCAGAAAATATCTTTGCTTCTGGGAGACCAACATTGTATGCCATACAATAATTTAAAATGCCTGTTAAGAGAAATGAAAACTTAGTCCATATTTACAACTTGTGAATATGTTTGTAAAATAATTCTCAAAGGCCACTTAAAAAACTTTGATGTAATAATTATTCTTATTAGTGTTTACCAAGAAATAATAGCTACTGCTTTTTAAATATTTACTTGGGACCTTGGCACCACACTAAGTGTTACTATTAAATTTTTTTTGCAGCGCTTTCTGCGGTTTCTAAAGATGAGTGTGTCTCATTGGTGGAAAATGATAAAAGTAAGGACAGCCCTTGAGCCCTGCGCTGTCTGATTCAAGGGCTTGAACTCTTAAACCACAAATTACCTCTAGGGATTCTTAAGTAACTTCAGGTTTATTTGTCCTTCCTAAAGCAGCAAAGGCTCTAAGCCACCAGCGGCGGGGACTGAAGGCTGCCTCCTATTTCTTCTGAATTCCCCTGAAGATCTTGACACGGACTCTGTGAAATGTCTGTGGCAAAAGCACGCTGACTATATCAACAAGGGGAAAACAATCACAGCTCTGTGAAAATTGTATCATTTTCTTGCAGAAGGGATGGTTTTTGAGGATGAAAATGTGGGGAAAGGTGTCACATCTCTTGTATTCCAGTGGCAACTGTCAAAAATATGGTTTTGTTCTTTGATGCTTCTTTCTGAATGCTTAAGAAACAATAATCATTTTCGGAAACAGCAAGGAGCTTGATAGGATAAAGCCTTGATAGACTTTTCTGAAAAACCTCATTTCTGATGGAAATGGAATGAGGAGAAAGAGGAAGGTGGACTAAATCTCCCTCTGACACTGATGGCATTAAAGCGGGCGGTCCTTCAACCTGAGACGGACGGCTGTGTGGAGACGACAGGATGCTTCCTGCCACTGGAGATCAGTATTTATTTTTACAGACGTTGAAGGGGACTCTTTAAAACCAACATCAAAGTGCCATTAATATGTGTTTTCACAGAGGAATGCCCCGCTTTCTGGGCAGCATTGCAAGGACACAGTATTTTGTAAGTCCATTGTTCCAGGCACCCGAAGGACGGAGGACAGGGCTCACTCCTCCCTGTGCCTGTGTGCCTCCAGAAGAAGATTGTGTAGGGGGATCCCAAGGAATAAAGAAGTCGGTGATGATGCTTTGGGGACTTAAAGTAGTCAGTGTTCCTCTCTACATGCTAAAATTATTCTACCACAGATTCTCTCACTCAAGAGGGCTTAACTCATTGTTTCTTAGAAATATGTGTGGCTAGGAAGAGAAGGACAAATAATAATTTTGAAATACTCTGTAGCAAAATCTATATAGCTCTACATTTGCAAACTTTCTCCTTAATGTCTATTATTCATATGCACCACTGCTCCTTTTTATTTTTGAGGAAATGAAATGCGAAGGAAAACAACATGGCAAATTAGGCAGAGAACCAGAACTGACATTTAGAATACTGGTGTTTCCAATCAACAGTTTAACTTCACCCCACTGTGCAGAACTCAATAAATGTTATTTAAATATGTTACCAATTATCTATCATACTAGTAAAAGTTTGGGGAGACGTTATTAAGATGCTCCCATTTTTAAAATATATACTGCTGGGAAGATCACATATGACTGGATATAATGACCTCATTTTTTCCCCTGTTAATTAGACCTCAGCAGATCATGTTACAACATGAAATCATGATGGAGTTCACTTTATCATCTAATAGTTATATTATATACACACACATATGCATATATATTTAATACATATACTTGTATGAATATATTTACACATGTATGTACATGTATAGATACACATACATATAAAATATTACTCAGACATGTAAATCGATCATTTCACCTCTACTTAAAATACCCCAATGTCTTGCCATTACACTGAAAACAAAATCCGGTTTCCTTACCATGGTTTCAAAGTCCTTTCATGATCTGGCCTTTGTGTGTATGTTGACTTCACTTTCCACCACCCTCCTTGCTTACTGTTTCAGACACACTGGCTTTCCTTCTGTCTTTTGAACACAAGCAGCTCATTCTGCTTAAGGCCTTTGCAGCTGCTTGACCCCTGTCTGAAACATTCTCCCCAGCTCAGCATTTACATCTCAGCATCTATTCATCACTTTGGTCTTTGCTCAAACAGGACTCAGTTCTCCTCGTAGACTTCCCCGACTCCTCTCTGGCCACAGCACCCTCCTCCATCAATACCCACTATCGCAGTGCATACTATCTGAAATGATCTTTTGTATCTGTATTGTTTTGTGTCTGTCTCTGCCTGTTAAAATCTAAGCTCTCTGAGAGCTCAGACCTTACTTCTCTTATTCACTTTAATGTTCTCAGCACCTAGGATAATGTTTGTTGAAAGAAATAGATTTTCATCAAATGTATGTTTTTCAATGATGATTTGGAATATGGAGAAAATAAGGGGCAGAAAGATCACAGTCACAGCATTCTAAAGCAAGTGCAGTTAATTTGGACATATTTCTGTCTAGTATTTTTCCTTCTGTTATTTGAACAAGAATGTATATTCCTATTTGCATCATACTACTGCTTACTACTTCTGTCTGCCCGCCTATTTCAGAATCACCTTGACTCATCTGAACCCCACAACAACCTTGGGGGACAGCAAAACCTATCCCTTGGTGCCAACGTACCCATGAGGAACCTGGAACTGTCTTTCTTGCTCAATGCCACACAGTTGGTGGCTGAGCCCTGAGTCTTGGTCTGGCACATCTTCTCAACCTTCTTGTCTAGAATTTCCATTCATAAATGGTCTGCTCATTTTCCTCATGAAACATGTCATTCTCCATCATCATTCCTTCACTCCACTCCACTGACCCTAGATCTCTTCTTTCCCACTAACTCAATCCTTTGTTCAAGACCCTGTCTCTTTTGCTAAGTGGACAATCTCAGTTCACTAATCAAATATATTTTTACAACTCACTATCCATGTCATGGTTTCACACTTAGCCTATGATAGCCAATTAGCTTACACAAATTTAATGCAAGTAGTCAGTCTAATTCAATGTCAGTTTCTTCTTTGCAGTCCCAAAGCTTATAGTGATATGATCCTATGTCCTCATAATTTTAACTGGATCATATGGAAAATAACCGTATTTGGCACATCGTGTTTCTTTCCCTCTTAATCATGTCCACATGTCTACACATACTAATAAATGGGTCATTCAAAAAATATTTATCCAGCTCCTTTGTGTCTGGCATTTTTCTAGGTCCTGGGAATATAGAAATGAACCAAACAGACAAGATCCCTGCTGTCTTTGAGCTTCCATTCTGATAATTTGAATAAAAAATAATAATTATAGCATAACAGGAGAAGCATTAAATTTCAGAGAATTTCTAAGAAGAAACTTGAGCCAAAAGCTGAGAAGAGGGCAAGTCTAAGTTTTAAAGGCTTCACAGGAGAGGTAGCAATCAATCTTGACCTTGAAGATGAGCTGAAATTCACTACATAGAGAGGAAGGTCCTCCAGGAACAAGAACACCCCGCTCAGCAGCATACAGATGTGGAACAGGAGAGGATTGGATTGAAATGGTGAAATTTTGGCATGGCAAGTCATAGATCGTTACATTAATTTATACATTTCCAGTTCTACAGTAAATGCAGTGAGTTTCAAGGTGCCTTGCACTTTGCCCTGACAGGAACATATTATTACCCAGAGTGTAAATCTTCCCTCCTTGACCTCATGTGACTGTTCATGAATGCAAACTCAAAGCATTTGTCAAAGGTGACCTTGCTGTACACATGTTGATAGCAACAGAGAACCTTGCCAAAATGTACCACCAATAAAAGCATTGTATCTCCTGGAAGTTTTTAACTTAATCCCTCTATGTCTGCAATAAAAAGGGGATAGTGTTTCATCATCCTGGATGATAACCTGGCTTGTTGTCATTTTCATATTCATGGGCAAACCAAGAGTTAAGTACCCATCAATTAATGCAGACTTCTTTTTTCTTCCACTCATTTAAAAATTTTATAGGACCTCCTGCCCTGAGTGTTTCTGTTCATCTCTGAAACAGATTTTTGGGAAACCTTCATAATTTATGAATTAATTTCAGCAAAGATGGAGTTCATTCTCCCACTTTTTCTGGAATCCAATTTTAAGTTATAAAGATATTTCAAAATTATAAGATAATTCAAAAGAGAAATATATGTTTGGGGATTAGATACAGTTAACAGTTTTGTCCTCAAAAGGTAGTAATGCTCAAAAAAGAACAAAATCTTTTGAAAACAAGAGCAGAAATAAGTGTATAAAACAAAACACGTCAATCTATATTCAATGACAAAAATTTGGGTAGGGAAATTTATTAATTTTCATGTCGGAGCTAAATGATATATATTTGTAGTAAAAGAGGGGAGAAGCAGGGTCTGATTTGTGTGGCCAATGTAAAATTTAAGCATGTATACATATGCTGAAGGGCTGGTGGACAGGCTTTTCATGGAAGGGGTTCATGAGCAGAAAGGTTCCAGGAAATACAGGGGAAGAAATGCATGTTAAGAGAAGACAATCATGGCCAAAAGCAAGAGGTAGACTGGAGAAGAGATGTGTTTTTAACTAGGACTCTCAGATTGCACTCCAGCACTTTCCTACAAATGTATACTGGCATTTTAGGCAGGGAAATATCTCTTTTAAATAATGAACAAATGCAAAAGAACTCCTCCAGTTATAAAATAAGCAAGTTATGGGGATGGAATGTACAATGTGGTGACTATACTCAATAATACTCTAGTGTATACTTGAAAGTTGCTAAAAGAGTAGATTTTAAAAGTTCTCAACACACATAACAACAAAGAAAAAACTGAAGGAACAAAACAGCAGCAGACTCACAGAACCCAAGAATGGACTAACAGTTACCAAAGGGAAAGGGACTGGGTGGGTGGGAAGGGAGGGATATGGGGGAAAACGGGGCATTACAATCAGCACACATAATGAAGGGGGTTGGGGACATGGGGAAGGCAGTATATACAGAGAAGACAAGTAATGATTCTATAGCATCTTACTATGCTGATG